CCAGTCCTGCTGCCACGTGAGTCTGCGCTTCCAAGGTCAAACACAAACCGCACCTCCACAGGTGTGGAGAGACTGTTCACATACGTGTGTACGTACAGAGGTATCCCTGTAGTAACGCCAAGTACGGTGTGCTGGAAATACCTGGCCAGCACTGCACCACAAGCCAAAAAAAAACTTCCCCAGCTCTTGGAAAGGTTCCTGTGCCCCACGCTGCGGGTGGAACAGCATGGTTTGACACAGTCCCATTGCGTCCATCTTCTTCCCTCCAATTTGGCTCATAACAGATGCAAAGTCCTCCTTTGTAATGAAGAACCATTTGCCAAGGTACAAAGCAACTTCTCAAAAAACTGCTATACTCTCCCCCACCTTCACCCAGTTATAAATCCCGGTTTGTATTTCAGCTTGCACTTGGGAACGCGTCTCTTTTGTCCTGCCTGACTTTACTGCAGAAAAGCCTCCTTTTGCCTCCCATTTCTGCGCTGGGTGCCATCTTTAATGATGATGTATGGGTGTCCTTCTCCTCGGCGGTGCTGTGGGGAGGGGGTCACACATGTGACACCGCCAGCATGTGTATCAACAGCAAATTATAAACCGTGTCAATCCAAGTTAATGCAAAGCTGTAATCCTCTTTAACAAGAGATCAAATCAGTGCCATGAGTTATGTTCATTCTGTAATCTGATAAGAAATAGAGTGAGCCTCTAATAAAAGAGTAATGAGAGCCCTTAATGATGCTGTTAAAAGGTAGCGCCAGTTAAAATATTGCTGTTGTTCCAGCTGATTAGATCACTGTTGCATATTTGCACAATCTTGTTTTACCTGTCAGAATAACCTGAGTCGTCTTGGGAGATAAAGGTGTTTGGACCAAACATCCGCATCCTTACAGAATGTCCCTCCTGCAAGCGACCGTTCTCCAGAGGTGAAATAATGATGTTCATCAAACTGAGCAGTAATTTGATATTATCCCTTTTTTACAGTGTCTGTGTTTAGTCTGTTCCACACACACGTACAGTGCAGAGATCTGAAGCTCTATATATCAAAGCTGACAGAGAGAGAGAACAAAACCAAAATCCACACACAGACCTTCCCAGGAACACAGACTTCACCCGACCTTGCCATAGCCAGCCGTTTGTAGGATCCACTCCTGCAGATAATGAAAGTGTGCTCCCGTGTCCAGGGACCTGGGTCACCGTTGGTAAGTGGATTTGGAGATACCCAAATTTGTGGATGCCCCATTCCTGGAGGGGTTCAAGGCCAGGCTGGATGAGGCTTTGAGCAACCTGGGCTGGTGGGAGGTGTCCCTGCCCATGGCAGGGGTGGCACTGGGTGGGCTTTAAGGTCCCCTCCAACCCAAACCATCCTGGGATTCTATGATACAGGCTCTCATTTCTGCATGCCTGACTTCCCAAAGTGTAAAACAGAAAAGATGACTGGCATCTTCCCAGCCCTGTTCCACATGCTGGAACTGAAGGACGATTGTATAAAAGGTTACACCATGCTAGCTACCGGGGCAATGGGATCGGTGAACGACCCTACACCATGAAGATGGGAAAAGCACATTTCAAGGGAAGTCCGAGAAGAGGCACCAACACGATGGCACCCACAAACCCAGGTGAATCCCAACCACAGCGAGATCAACGCTGTTCTAATCCTGGCTAATTCCTGCCCAAGACAGATGCTCTCCTCACACTTACATTCAAGGTTTCGCCTTCAGGTTCCTTGTCTTAGGGCAGGGCCATTTACATAGCAATGACCTTGGACCGATTAGAAAAACCTTGGCCCAAGAGCACAATAAATGTATTTAAGTCTATAAACATATACCCCAAGACAACCATAAAAATCACTTTCCAGTGTATGTTTTAAAATACTACCAAAGAGGGGTTAAAATAGAGGAGGGCTCGAGGTCACCAGTGCCCCACACATTACAACATAATATATGTGAGCACGAGGTTAAACAGCCATGCCCATGCGTAGGGTGCATGAAAAACTGGCAAGTGGAAGATTAATTGCCTGCACGGATGCTATTATTCCAACCAGGAGCAAGAATAAGAAAGGATGTTGACAAAGTGATGTTGACAAAGGCAGTTATTATACTTGTACGTTTCTTTTCTCAAATTCAGGCTGTAAAACAATTCTGGAGTGACTGTTCATCCCTGTCTCCATGCAGCGCTCGGGTTGCTTCTCCTCATGCATTTGCTCTTTGTTTCCCCAGCCAGCGGCAGTGGCAAGAGATAAACTTGATGCGCCGGATCCCCAGAAGTCCTGGGGATGACAACAGCACACAGGGACCTTCAGGTGAGCGCTAGCAGGTCCTTGCGCTATTTTAAGGTTTCTCTGCACAGACAGAGTTGTTTAAAATGGCTTAAATGTACAGGAGCATCAGGCCTAAAATGTATTCCTAGGCTGCACTAGCTAATTCAATATACAGAAAGCAGCAAGGTATCGCAGTGATACACAGACTGGTGCCTGCAAAAGCACTTGCAGCAAGGCACAGCAGGACAGTGGTCACAGACAGCTCTCCTCTGCCCCGCTGACAAAGGGCTTGTGCAGCTCATCACGGGGGGTGAGGACTCGGCACAGCTGGAGAAGAACCAGAACCACACTGCACCGCCGCTCGCACCCCCCGGACTCTCTGCCATCGCCCCAAGCTTGTGCCCATTCACCTCTGCACACACATTTATTTACTGGCGTTTTCCAGGTACCTACCTGCCACGGTAGCCACTGGTAGAACTTAAGGGGAATGTTCTGCCAGCTCTGTTTCTCATATACAGCTCACTGACACTTCAAAATTTCTTACCCTACAACGCAGAGCACCTCGTTGTTCAGATGTGTATTTATTTTGGGGTCATGCCTGACCAGAAAAAAAAAAAATGGCTCAGAGCATGATCACATCACTGTGAAGTGTAGACTTGCATTTTCAATCTAGTAATTCACACTTGCAAACAATAAAATCACCCTCTTCTGTCACAAAGGGAAGTGGTATCATTATTGCTCCCCTCTCATGCACACAGGCCTGCTCCTTTCTTTTTAATTCACCTGCAGTTTAAAGCAGACGTTGAATTCTTCTTGCCTGGTCCGGTATGGCTGTGTGCTGCTCGCGAGGTGTAACGGCCCACGGCAAGCGCAGGGGCATTTCAAACAGGGCTGGGAAGTGACCCCTGGAGAGGGGCAGTGGGTTCGGAATAAATGACCGAGAGCAGCAGATATCTTCATTTTGGGAGAGCTGAACCACAACACCTACAGACACCTCATTTCCAGACACTGGCCGCTCCAGTTTTTCGAATGTTTTATGTCTGGATGCAAACACAAATGGTGCAAAGCAGGGAGGAACGGCAGAAGCTAAGCTGAATGACACCCAGGTTTCCAGTGGGCAACACAAGAACGCCCACGCCAACGTGGAAGGGCTGCTGCAAAGAGGAAGCAGGAGTCTGTTCCTAAAGCCCACGTTGAACAGGACAAGACACAACAGGGCTGAATTACAGCAGAGGGAAATTTAAGCTCAACGTTAGGACTAAACCCTTATCCCACTAACTGAGTGTTTTCTCCAGGCAGGTCCCAACGGCAGCCCTCCACTGCTCGGCAGGGGAATCACAGCGCAGAAACGCAGAGCGACCTGCTTCAGGTCACCCACGCAGCCACCGGCAGGACCAGGAACAGAACCTGCCCAGCCTGAGTCTGGCACGGCCCCATCCACCTCCAGGCTCTGCTGGAAAGCCCCATCTCGGCAGAATGGGACACAGCTGCCCACACGGTGACCCTCGGGCACGCTTGCTGGCGTGAACACATCAACCGCCAGCCTCACTCTGGCCGGCTAAACCGACCCCAGGAGCTAAGTGACCGAAGCACCATTACCAGACAGCATGGCTGGCCTCCAAAGTGACTAATAAACTTAATGTAAGAAACAAGTTCCTGCAGCCAGACAATAAGCAGCAGCAGCTGCTGCCACCGAAGAATCAGTAGAACATGCAAGAGCGGCAATAACCCGCTCGACGTGGAGAAAACCCCCAGGAGACACTTCCAGCAAACCAACTGTCAAACCCTCTGTCCCTGCCACCGTGACAATAGTGCCAACACAGCACCACGTGGACAGCGTCCTACCAGCTGTGACAGCTGCCGAGGGTCGGTCGGTGTGCGGTGGACTCCAGGTGCCTCCCGAGGAGCAAAGGGAACAAGGGTTGTGACGATGGCAGCCAGCCGAAGGGTAGCCGAGGCCCAAGGAGGTCACTGTGCAGAACGACTCCACCGTCCAGCGGTTTCCATGCGCTTCACGTTTGCATTGACTTGCTGGAGGATTCTGGCTTACCGAATGCATTTGCTATGCAACTTTTGGAACACAAGCGAGTGTGGTGGACTGCGGAGGAGGAGGCAATGTCACCTCTGGGGACAGCAAACACAGTATAACTTCCAGATTATTAGGATCAGTCTCGCTATTTTTTTTTTTTTTCCTTTTTCCCCCTCACACACGCCCCACGCAAGCTGAGCATCCTTCATTCTGGGGACAGAGCAGCAGTCTGTATGCCTGCCTAACCTGTAGCACAGTGCAATATGTTTTACATGCAAAAAATGACAGGCACCCTAACCTCATTTGAAATTCTCAAAGGACAAGTACTAACCAGTCGACTGGATGTAATCCTGAGATAGAGAAATACTAGAGTCACGCGTATTATTAATGCACATGGTATGAACTGGTTTTTCCTAAACACACCTATGCCTCCTGCTAATTGCCCTCAGACAAAAAGATGTGGGGAATGAGCAGCACATCCCAGAACCATTTCTACAGGATGGCATGACTCCACTAGGAATGTGTGTCTGTCCTGCCCCCTGCTTTCACCCTGCACATCCAACACATTTATTTTTGTGGCTAGAGGATCTAGACAATATTCAGAAATCGAAGCAGTTTTCTCACTTGAAAAAAATAAAAAGTAAAGAAATAATGAAAAAGATGCATGATGAAACAGCACAGGTCTTATAATGGACACAAAACATCTTTGTGCCAGCTTACCGGAAAGCTCTCATCCAGAAATCTGTGCAATATCCCAAAAGGCAACAGTCTAGGAACAGCAGGTATTTGGTTTCCATTTCGCAAACAGACAAATGACAGCTCTCTCTCACAAAGCACAAACATGGTCCACGACCCAGGGGAAAGATGTTTCTCAAGCCTTCTACATCCATTCACCGGAAAAATTATTCCACCTCCTTCCCACAAACAGCTCAGTATTTGGAGATTTAGTTTCAAAATGTAATACTTAAGAACTCTGAAAAACTATCTAGTAACTATGCACAAAACTTCATGGATATTTTCCTTACTAATTAGCACATTAAAACATTATAGTCTTCCAATAAAATTCTTCACTCTTTAAATAGACATAAACACGAACAGCATTTAGGTCTTGAGTGAATCTTGACTGAACTATTCCAGTTATTAACTGATCTAAGAAAATGCATGCTGAGCAGAATTTAGAACAGCTGCCACGTCTGTTAAGAGACAGAAGTGTTCTTCCTAAGTTTCAATTACACCTGAAGGCACCAGACAACTTAGTTGTCTATTTCCAAAATAATTCCATAAAACTAGAAGATTTCGAAATCGGAGGAGTTTTAAAGAAGGAATCAAAATGCAGGTACTGAGATTTATGAAAATTTCTTGTTTGGTGTCACAGTAATTACAGAGTGAAAGCTCAGCCAGACTGCCTGGACAGATGTGACCAAGACACCCAGGCTATGATGCCAGTGACAAATGGTTAACTGATAAGAAGAAATGGAGGGGGCGACAGACTGAAGAACAGGTCAATATCATGCTGTCATGAAGCCATTTGAGAAACATAATTAATCTATTACTCACCTGGCATCATCATTCATTGTGCAGTGGTCAATAGGTGCCATGAAGCTCACCAGCTTGCTATGGACATGATACCTGAATAGCACAGGAAATAAGCAGGCAGCACATTAGTAACTATTAATGAAAAGGAAATGTTGCTGCTTGAATAGAAACACACCGGTCCCTGAAATGCAAAGCCCTGGCTTTGCTGGTGGCTGATATCTAACGAGTCACCAGTTGTAGCTGGTAATTCCCCCTCCCTTCCCTCCTCCTCCTTTCTTATAACATGGACAGGAGAATAATCAGATGATACAATGAACTGAATAGCAAGCAAATCCTTTTTTATCACAGCTAGAAAGAGGACATACAGCATCCATTAACTGTGTGCGAGTACCTAATCAGGCTCCCAGACAGACAACCCTGAAAACGCAGAAGACAGAGAAACAAGAACTCGTTTTCAGCCTTCCGTTCAGCTGGTGTCTTAATCACCTTCTGGAATTTGTGCCCAAAGAGCCCACTGCAGGCAGCAGAGCGCCAGAGCATCAGACCTTCTCAAGCATCCATCTGCTATCACTTTTTCCTTGCTCTGTGGTATCTAGGGCCCTAAAGGATATCAAAATCCCACTCTGCGAGCCATACCCATCATTGGAAAGTCTGAATAACTTACAAATGGAGCATGTAAAAACAAGCAAAGAAGGAGAGGGGACAAAGACCTGTGCAAAGAAGGGATGGGGCATATCCAAAGTGATACAGTGCTGCATCTGTCTCAGCTTCTGATCCACCAAAACATCTCTGCAAGCTGCACTGCCCCTCCAGATACGGGATCCCCTTCCCGCTCTCCACGCTGGGCTAGGAACTTGCAGCAGATTTCATGCCTTAGATTCAAGGACCTGACATAAAATTTAACAGAGTACTGAAAAACCCAGAATGAGAAGGTGGCTTGAAACCCTGGTGTCTAAGGGCAGAGGATTCCAAACCAACGGCTTCTGGTGTACACTACCACTGCCTACCCAGCTCCGAAATGTTCTATCCAAGCTGCTGCTATTTTTAGAGCTTGACAAATAGCAGGCAAAAGGATTCACAAGCATTTGCCCAGAATCACCTTTCCACTCCGTCACCTCTGCACTCCCTTTTGTTTGCTTATGCAGGAACATTCCCTCGAGGGGATTTTCAGCTCACAAGACTATTTCAGAATGGCTCTTCAGGCACAGCACACGCTCACCCTTACACAAGGGCTTCTCTGCACAATCCAGTCTTTGTCACTCCTCAGGGAAGCACTGCCCCGCCACTGCAGGGCTGGCACCGCCACGCAGCAGGGCACCAGGCTGGGCTGTGAACAGCTGGCTTCTGAGACACTGACACCGGATGGATTTGTACAGATCAAAGCTCATCCAGGGACAGTCTGCAGAGTGGCAAGGGGACTTGGCAACTCAGGTAAATCCTCTGACACCAGTTGTTTGTCCAGAAGCAATTACTGTCACATTTTTAAAATCAGGACTTTAAAAATCCCAGTCTAGCAGATATAAAATATTTCATTTATAGAAAAACATCCCATGCAGCAGCACAGGACCAGAAACCCCTGACACGAGAAACAGGTGTGCACACACCACCCCTCCATCTCTACCTGAAGAAAAGGCTTGTCCCAGCGAGGGATGGCAGAGTTCCAGGCACCAGGTTTCTAAAGCTTCACTGGGGAGCTTTTGGACCAGCTCCTTTCCCCTCCTAGTGCCCCAGTTTCCCTGTCTGTGAAGCAGACAGGTACTCGTGTAAAGCAGAAGATCGACTGCTTCTGAAGCCACTTGAAGAGCCTCAGACCCTACAATAAACTAGCACATGTCACCCAAACGTGCTGTAACACTGAAGGCTTGCTAAAGGCTTGCTAAAAAGGAAGAATTACGGAGACAGATGAAACTCAGTATTAAATACTTTGCTCTCCAGGATCTCCAAGTCCTTCACGAAAACAAATCTAAGCACTGCTGCCCCGATTTTAGAGAAGGAAAAAGAAGAACGGAGGATAAGTGATCTGCTCGGGGTGACATGGAGTCTCCCAGTGGAAGAACCAACTATTTAAAAACACCCATTTGGGCTCTACTGGACTATTCTGAAGAGATGCTGGAGCTTAACTGCTTGTTAATCCTGAACACAGACAATGACACTTTTTAATTTGATTGATATTATCCCTGCAGGGTCAGTGCAACTTTTATTTAAAGAAAAAAAAAACAAGGCACCTAAGATCTAAGAGGGAATCGACTGGGTGAGCTAGCTGATCTCTCAGGAATGCTGAAGCGCACAGATTGCACACAATGAGAGCCTTCCCCATTATTCCTGGAGGTTTACGAGTCTGACTCAGTTGTGTGATGTTGTCAGTAGTTTTGACTGAATCATGAATATCTCCAATTACGTGTGATGCTGACAGAAAAGAATATTGATAGTCAATAATTATAGGCTTTTCAGGCCAACAAAGTAGCTCTTCCCTCTTTTAATAAATTATCTTATGACATCTATCTTAAAAATTGCTATGCCAGGCCTGACCCAGACTGACTCCGCTGACTTTCTATCAGATGCCATCTAAACTCACGATTTATAGTTTACTCACAAAAGGATGGCTGATGATGCGGATTTTTCAGGAAGCGGCGCAGCTTTGCAGCATGCCTCCCTGCCACAAACGCCTCCTCCACTACAAATCATGCAGTCATGCTAAACTCGGGGAGACTAATGTATCTGCTCTGCAAAGGGGAAAAACCCCGTCCTCTCCAGCCTGCGTCCCTTCCTCCCTACCGCGTGGGAGATTCTTCCACTGGAGACACAATGGGAGAGATCAAGCCAAGATAGCGATCCAGGAGCCAGGATGTGGAACGCTCTGAAGGTAAAGCAAGCTCCGATGGGACTCAGGAAAACAAAGAGAGATTAGACACCAAATTCCAACTGACAGCCAGTGGGAAAGAGACATCCACCTCACGGAGGCATCTCTGCACATCTTCCCCTAGAGCTGCTATCCATGTTTTAGTCAGCTAAATATATATTGTGCAAGAGGTGTTCATTTGCTTTCATGGGAAATTATGTCCCCAAATCGCCTGGGGACATTTGAACACCTCTCTCCGGTGTTTTCTGAGACCAATGAACGCTCTTGCCAAGACTGATCTGGGCACTGCTCACAGGCTGCATCCAGCCAAGCCCTTATTCCAGCCTCAAAGAACATCAAGATTCCCCCGTGGCTGCCCCAGAGCAAGACATCTTGCCCTGCAAGGCACGAATAAGCCTGCCAACACTCCCCAGAGCCCACCCAGCACAGCCACACTTCATTCGGCAAAACCAGAACTTCTTACAGAAGCTGTCACCCACCGGATTCTCCTTCCTTTACTGGCTTTTCTGTCCACTTTCTTCTTTATTTTGCTTCGTAACTTCTGGATGGCCAGCCACTGCCTGAGGAATGCAAACCAACAGTTACCCCACTTTCAGAGGCACGAGGAAAATGAGCATCAGGCACACGGTGGGCTGAGGCCCTTCCCAGCCCTTCCACCTGCTGCATGCACACAAGAGAAGGGGATCAGAACCTCGGGAACAAGTATGAAACTTCAAACGGATTCTGTCAGTGAGATAGGTTACGCTAACTTCATGAACAGAATTACCATGACGCAGTAGATGATCTGAATTTATTTCCTCCCTCAGTTTTGCAAAGTATACGAAAAATTATAAGCAAGTATTTCTCTCCAACATCTCTGACTTAGAGCTGGAAGTTCTAGCAAGAAGCCCTATAGAATGCTCCAACTATTATAACACAAAACTACAAAAGAAAGAGCAATAAATGCTTTCAGAAATTGCTGTCTGATCCCTGACTGTCTTCAGAAGGGAGAGCTCACCTCCTCAAACAGAACTTCATCAAGTCAAAGAAGTTTTCAGCTGGGGAAAACTTCTACTAGTTATAAATATTTTTTTTTACGAAAACGAGCATCATCTTACCTGATTTATACAATGAAAACTTGACATCAGGGGAAAAAATCTAGCAAAATCCAATTACTGCAATCTTAATATGATCTTAATTACTGTAATCTATTTTATTGTAAAGTCAGATAAATGTACAATGTAATCACCACTTAAATGTAATTTTGTCTATATCATGTTAAATTATAGCGAATAGCTTTCCATAATATTCCAGACACACACAAAATAAATTTGACACATTGCACCAAAATTTGGATAGTATTTTACAAGGATAAAAGTTATTTCACCCTCACAAAATTTCCTGATGCATTTTCTCCCCATACACATACCCCCACAGCACTTTTCCAGTGGAGAGCCCTGCTCCAGCATTTTCAGCCTTCCCCTGCCTTTACGCTTTTCTAAATTACAGCCGACGGCTATTTGAATGTACACTGTTCAGTAAGTGGTGTTTGGAAGATTCTTTATTTTCTAACTGCAGAATTAAATAGAGAAACAAGAGCCTCCCTACATGGAAATATATTTTACCTCTGCATGCAGGAAACATTCCCTGAAATCCACAACTAAGGAGTATGTTACAGAGGATGACTTTCCTGACTAATGTCCTACTGTTTTAATAATTTGTTAAGCAACTTCTTACACCCCGATGCTTTCTCCAGAGCTGTTCAAAATGTTGCCCTCTACAATGAACTGGACAAAGTAGTTTTGCAGTTGTGGACTGGAACGCAGTGCTGGGGCGAAGCCAGTGATGTTACAGACAACCTCCTACTCACCTGCCCATGGCTACTTGGTCATTGGGGTCCAATGCAGTGGTTTTACGTTCTATAAATTCTCGAAGGAGCTAGAAGAAAGACAACAATCCCATTTAAAAGCACAGTAAAGACATGTTAAAGCAAAGCTCGCAGGTTTCTCAGATGACTTAAGAAATCAGCTGCCAAGTTCCCAAGGGAAACTGTGTGCATCATTTCTTGAAACTCCCTAGAAAACCGCGAGCCAAGAACTAAGGCTTTTTAACATGTCCTCTCCATGAAGGAGTTTTCCAAGGGAAAAAGCTGATGGCTCTGAAAAGGTTCAAGCAAGGAAGCAAAGCTCTGTGCTAAAAGTTTAAGTGACTACAGATCATCCCCTCTTCCAAAAAGGCTCCCCACAGTACTGGAGCACAACCACCACCGAAGGCCACTGCAAAGATTTCTTATATAAATTCAGATGGATCTAGGAGCAGCACAGTCTTCCCTTCAATGCATCGTGGTTCATTTAGGTGACATGTAGCACCATGTCGTTCATCTGAAGAGAATCTAAAAGGTGATGCAGAGCCAGAGAGACTCAATTTAGTCCAAGCACAAGAAGACCCACATGGGCAAAGCAAACCAATGATTGTAAATCTAAGCACTGGCACAGGACCGAACCCCTGGGGCACTGCAAAGCCCCCTCCGGGACTGTCAGATGGGCCAACCCTTCGGTAAGACCTCTGCCCCACAGGTCTCACCCCACACTTGGAGAGGGGAGGGCAGGGGGGAACCGAAACACTTCACCAAGCAGGAGTCAGGCGTTGCTGGGCAGTACCGCTCGCTCCGAGGAACAGCACAGCAAAATCACTTTTACAGCTAGAGCAGGAATACTCAAGCAGGCTTTTCATTTCTTTTCATGTCTTGAGGGTTGGGTTTTGTCCTTTTTGCTTCCTACAGCCAAAGAATACTGTGAACAGCCTTTCTGGATATGTGACCAGCGCTGTATGTTTATCACCACTCACTGTAAACCCCACGTGCGGCGCCTCGGGTATCAGCCAACGTGCTAACACAAAGAACAGAAATAAACCCTTCAACCTGAGGGGCACAGGCTGCTTTCCAGACGCCAACACTTCACTGACTAGTGAAGTTACTGCCTCAGCTCAGAAAGGACCTGAAACAGACCCACCAGAAAACAGCCAGTGCAGGCAATCCCACAGCGACGCTGGAGGAGACAGGATGAAAGGTCCTTTTCCACCACTGTCCCAGGCACAGTGCGACGTGGGAAACCCGCGACTCCCATCGTTTCTGATCACTTACGTACACTATGGAGTGAGGGAGGGAAAAGACCTGCACCCCACAAAACCAAAATGCCATAAAGGTGGATTGATACCATTTTATGGCCCTTTTTTATTTTCAAATAGGAGACATTCAAGCAACAGAGATAATATTTATACCTGTCCACATCTGCTGTCTCCTTCAAGGCATACATCATATTACCAAAAAAAAAAGAGCGATTCAAGTATAATTAAAAACCTGGTATGACTTTTTTTCTGTTTGCTTATTTTTGGAGATTATTACTGCAGCAATTACATTTTAAAATCCCAGGAAGAGAGGCCACTGGTTTATTATCACTAGAAAACAGCAAGCTACTCCTCTGCCCTATTTATCTGATTGATTCCCAACATCTTTCTGGCACACAATCTATCAGTTTATCTCTCCCACTTCATCACAGTCACTTCTGGCAGCTAAATACAAGATCCAAATCCAGTGTTACACAGACATACGACACAGTAAACCTATGTAACACCGCCACTCTGTAAACTGCTGCCCTTAAGGCTACGCAGAAATGGGATCTGGGTTCCCAGTCAATATTCTGTCAAAAGCAAGGTGGGAGGGAGGGTTTGAACAGCAGCGAGAGCGGTGCAGGAAGGGTTTAGTGGTCCCTTCCTGCACGGGCAATAAGGTGTGTTTACTGCCTCCTCTTATCTTGCTTCCTCGGCACGATGCAGAGGAAAAACTGCTGAGTGGTGATGGCAGAGGCTACAGCACGAGAACACAGCAACGCACACGCGTCCGACACTCCTACACAACCAAGCAGGAAGATGTTTGCAGTGGGACTTGCTCCTCCTGGTGGCCCCCCAAATCCACAGTCTAAGGAGCGCCCCAAGGTCTTGCAACCGTGTCCACGTGTGCGAGGACGAGGTGCATTTTGCGGCAGGTTCCTTGTGCTGCACCTAGGAAGCGGGCAGGATCCTGCTGGACCGGATCACTCTCCTTCTGGCACGGCAGCGTTCCCCGTGAGGCTGTGCGGGCAGGGAGCTGAACTGCGTGCCACCTAGCAGGGGGACAGCAGGGACCCCGTTATTTGCTGGGGGGCACGTCCCCTCCTCTGTGTGCAGAGGATCCTCGCACCAGAACCAGCGGGGAAAAGCTCTGTGCAGCAGCAGAGACTAAACCCTGTGCACGGCGGTCTCCTCGGCACCAGCCCGGCCACCAGCCCGTCGGCCAGCAGTGGAGACAGAGACGGTTGTGTCGACCTTGGGGCTGACAGTGAAATGTTCTCTCAGCGCAGCGTCAACGGCAGGGGTATGCCGGGGAGAGGAGAGGGAGACAAAGACGAGGGGGGAGTGAAAAAAGAGACGGGACAAGAGGGAAATTAGGAAATAGAAATAAAAGCTGCGAAGCGTCTTATTACATCTAAATAGTGTACGTCTTAAAGCTGAAGTTATAAATCATGCTAACAATGGTTACTAAAATAAAAGCGGATGTAGCCAGAGGCTACCACTGAAAAAGTCACTCTAGACCTGCCTCGCTGCCTTTGGTCTTTAAGGATTTGATTAGTTTTTCCGCTTTCTAGTTCAGAGTCGTGCATTCAGCCCATGCTCCAGAGCCAGCCAGGGCTCAGGACACAGAATGAATGATAAATTCATTTACTGAATAAAGCAACACTGTTTGCACAGCACAAGACTTAAAACACTTCCGAAGCTGTAATATTTCATTAAGCTTGGTGATTCTGGTTAAAATTTATTAGTCAAAACAGAAAACTCTCCTCAGGCCCCATATATTCCACTAGGAGTGATGTATGGTGTCTCCCGATGTCTAATTATTAACTAGGAAGTGTGAGTAAATCACTATCAGCACCAAGCCCTGATGTGTGAAGACAGAGTTTGAGTTAGGCAATTTTAGCATCAAAAGGCTTTGTTTTGAAACATATCCTTTTTTGCTTTCCCTCCTTCACCTCTTCACATCTTCCCTGAACTTCAAAAACCTCAGCTCAGCCTCCCGCGCAAAGGAACACAACTGCCCGCCCGCGACGACGCGCAACCGCAGCCCGCAGCCCCACCGCAGCTCCCAGCTGGAACCTGGATCCAGGAGGAGACGCTACGTGCCAAGCGGACAACAGGCAGCCGTAAGAAGTTGCTAACACCAGTTTGTCTTTGGAACAAAGCGGCGATGCTCGCCACCCGTGCTGCTCTGTGCGCATGTTTCCAAACTCAACAAACCCCCGCCGTTAAAACCAACCCAACCCAACTCCCTGGTCAAAACCAAGGACTACCAACCACATGAGTGAAGAAGAACACGCAGAGGTCGCGTGGTTTGCCGAGGCCCACAAGTCACGGTCACGAAGCACTGGAGCAGACGGGAGCTGATGGACCTTCCTGCATCCCGAGCACGCGAGAGCTTAAAATCTGCAACCGCTACCAAAGAGCAGGGCAGCGTTCCCGCAGGATGTATCCGAAGGCAAGAGCTTCAAAAGCAGTCAGTATTCACCTGCCTCTGCTGACACCAAAGCCACCCTTAAAATCTACACAGGAGTCAATGGTGTGTGCTTTCTGAAGAATTCACCTTAAGAGGACTCCCTCCCTGCGCCAGTTAAAGAGATGCACGCGGAGTACATCGTACAGAATCAGACGGATTTAGAAATGCCATCAGGGTGTTGTTCAAGGGTAACAGAGATTCATTTCTCATTTTAGAGGTCAATTTTCATTTTAGAGGTTAGGTCTCATTTTCATGCACTATCTATCAGTGTTTCTAATACTACAGTTGCTGACCTTTCTGATTTGCAGACCCCTAAGAATTTCCAGTTGAGACAAAGAGGTAAGTATAGCTGAAATAAGCCTTGTGACAAAAGGCTCCCTTTTCTTAGACCTCACGGACCAATTCAAATTAATACCTCGCAAAAGCTGACCCGTAGTATATCACAGGAAACAGTTTTGTTTGCAAAGCTTAGAAATAAAATCAGAACAAAAGGAACACTTTTTCTCTGATGTTTGTTATTAAAATCTTCAAAAAATGCCAATAAAGGCACAGGTCATTTCTGCTACAGGGCATCAAAGCCACCTGTTCTGTCTTGCGAGTGGCACTGCTGCCTGTGAATCCACCGAGTCGGGTGTGCGCAGAGGTGAGACGCTGGCTCCTGGACGAGGAACCCAAAACGCTCCTACAGAGCTCCCCGCGCTGATAATAATGTCAAACAAGGGGCCGACGGTGTTCATTTTAGAACAAGTGTGCAGAACAACGGAAAAGCAGAACCTCGTAGCGCTTCTGACATCTTAATCACTTGCTGAAAGCAAAAAGAAAAGATTCAACTATCCACGGACTCTGAAACAATGGGAAACACCCAGAATTCAGGTTTACCAGCAGCTGCTCACCTTTACTGGAACACTCTGTCACTCCTGGGCTAAAAAACCACTCTTTTATCAGTGAGGAACTCTAAAAGATTTGTGAATTGCTTATGTGGACTTGCACAGGAAATGTGTGTTTGTTACTAGAGACAGTAACCAAACCATTACCATGGTGTGAAGGTCTGCTAGCGGCGCTCTGCTATCTGTTAACACAGAACCCTTATTTTTAACAAAATCACTGTAGGAAACAAGAAGAGAGAAGGTAAGTACAACTTGTCAAGCCCAAGTAAAGAAGTAAGACTCCAGACACCAAATGCTTTTTGCAGAGTCACTCCTGAACAGAAAGTACACAAAACCACCTTTTATCAATGTATTTTCAATACTTTCTAATTTAATTTTTTTCTCCTTTAGTCTTTGGAGAGACATGGTAAATCAAACGAATTTTTCCTTTTTCATATCGATACACTGTACTGTTATCTAAACCAGCA